ATAAACAAATAATCCACCATTCTTCAATCAACGGAAAATTCGGACTGCAGCCATTCAAACATGTTTCGTATAATGACAACATCTGTTCTTGAGTCTTCAATTGCTAATTCAATTTGAGTGGCAGTCTCTTCGTCTGATTCGTCTGCCATATTATGTTCACTAGCAGGAATATTGCAATGGACGACCTTATGTTTTTTCATTGCCGCTTGTGATGGGAAATATTTACCGCAGAAACATATTCTCTTAGAAATTCTTCCAGCCACCGATGGACAATAGAGATCAAAAGGCATGCTACTGCAACTGTGATCGGGCAGTAAATTTGCAGTAAATTTATGCAAAACTGCTGCACTCAAAAAAACACTACAATGTGGACATCTACTTTGTCCTAAACTCCCTCCCCCCCTTTGTCCACTTTTTGCTGAACCCCCTTTTGTGTGGATGTCTTTTATGGATGATCCCTAATGTTGTGAGAGCCCCCATAAAGCAGGTCAACCGATTGAAGTTACAGGCAGGGGATGTCCTAGCAGGAAGAGATCTTTAATGTGCCGCTCCGTGGCCCAATAGTTGGGGCACTTTTTGGGTTTGAGGAGGGCATTAAGAGCTTTGGGTCTATGACACCATCCCCTAATGTACATATTAAGGGACCATGGAGTATGCCAGCTATGCAATAGACCCACACAACATTGCAATAGACCCACACCCTGTCATCTGAGGGATAAATATTTGTGCTGACAATTTTATAGTTAGATTTCAAGTAATTTTTTTTTTTAACAGACCTTTTAAAAATATTTATTATAAATATATAAATATATTTTATACACAAATTTACATAATTGTATATTGAAATGATTTGTGAATAGCCAAGTCTTTTTTTGTAAATAAAAGTTTAGTTGTATAATAGTGTTTCACAGTGAAGAATTACAGCACAAAAAAAAAAAAAAAATTAACTGTAAATAAGTAAGATCTATATTTAAATTTTTTTAAAAGACAACTGTATTTAAGTAAGCTTTATAGTAGTAAAATAGTCAAATTCATACAGTAACAATCTCTTGTTAAATTCTATATCAATCATTTTTCTATAATTTCAATATTTTTTTTGCTGATTCTGTCCTTTCTTTTATTATTTATCAACTTTCGTGAAAGGTTATGGCTACCTGGAAATGCACAGGTGTATTCAGTAAACCATTATAATTTCAAGGTTAATATTTTTATTTATCACCAGCAATCATGGCCATAACACAGACTTGAACAAAATTTCTTCCACCTAAGTTCCCAGTCTTAAATTTATTAATAATGCTATTTCTTCCATCTAAACTGCCCAGACTTAAATTTATTTATTAATGTTATCTATAAAGTGGAAAAAATCATTAAGTTACAAATCATTGAATTGTAAGTGCTTAAAAAAAAAAAACACCAAACACAGTCCCTTCTGTAAGTTCAAGAGATATTCATGAAAAATATATTTAATGTAATGTTAGTAATGTTCCCTCAGTGTTAATAGCACTGGAACCCCTCACAAAATGCCATAATTCAGTCCAATGTTAATTCATAAATAAAATATGGATTCAAAGTTTCAAGCATTCATCAAGCACTTGGTAAATAAAATTAAAAATTGTAATAAATGAACAAAAAGACCCCAAAAATTACATAAACAACCTGCTATATGCTTTAAATCTCCCTTTAAATCTCAATGTCACCTGATTTAAAAATAAATATTATTTACACATTGTCAAGCTGGCTCATACTATGTTTAGCTAATAGAATGTTTATTTTTAACAATTTTTAACCCTATTTGAAGGGAGATAATCTCACACGTGGGGGCAGAAAAGCCTTCTCAAGTCGCTACTGAAACTGTGCAGATGAACACAGATCATTCTACAACAGTCCATTGTTTAAGCTTAGATCCCAACCTGCCTATTTTGTTTTTCCCCGGCCTGCTTCAGACAATAAACATCCCCAGTCTTGAACACCACATTTGAGCAAGCATTTATTAAATTATTTCAATGATATAATTCAGAACAGCTTCCTATGCGATTTTGTAACAGAGGCAGATGACGTGAAGGATTTCAGCAAGGAGTTAGTATCACATGAACCTTTTAGGTCTCCACTTTACTGTGAATGGAAGTGAAAGTTGCTGTTGTAATGTATTTAACTATAAAATAATAAGATTATTAATCTTTTGTGCCAAGTTTATCAAATGTACATACACACCGAAATAGATCGGCTCTGAGATACGTTCACAGCAGAAAGACAAAATTATGAATTGACCATCAGAGTCACCTGACTTGGTTGGAGTTTCTGGAAGTTTGTGGACAATAATGAACCATGAGCATCTGTAGTATTTAGCTTGGCATTATACCCATAGTGAAGGAACCACCACATCCTGCCATTATACCCATAGTGAAGGAAACAACACATCCTGACATTATAGCCATAGTGAAGGAAACAACACATCCTGACATTATAGCCATAGTGAAGGAAACAACACATCCTGACATTATAGCCATAGTGAAGGAAACAACACATCCTGACATTATAGCCATAGTGAAGGAAACACCACATCCTGACATTATAGCCATAGTGAAGGAAACAACACATCCTGACATTTTAGTCATAGTGAAGGAAACACCACATCACACATAAACAGAATAGTCAATGTCATCAGAGTCATCCTCATCTGGTTGACCTGGGGCAGGTTGAGCAGATGTACCAACCCCATGACATCCAGGGAGAAGAGCTGAGCTGGCATCCTCCCATTTATCACAGGGATCATGTGGGTTCAGCCCTACACCACGAGAGCTGCTGCCCGCAGCAATGATCATGTCATCCCTGGGTACCATCCTGATCAGGGAGTATTCTATCAAATCATCTGATCGAGACAGGGAGCAGCCAGGGTGCGTGGTCAGAGGAACGGCTAAGGTTGGATCGCTGACATCAGGTGAGTTAAGCATTGACAATGCTGACATGTCATTGCAGCTATGAGACTGTTGTGGGACACCGGGACTTTTTTGATAGTTGAACTCAGTCACAGTTAGCTTCTGACTGTGTGACAGTTTGTCTTTTTTGGTCACGCTGACCTGGTGAACTTGACCGCCTGTGTCACACACCAAGGCCACCGGAGCAGACTTGGATTTCTTGGTCTTACCTTTACTACAAGATTTGCTTCTGTTCCCATCGCAGTCATACACTCGTGTTTTGTGAGATGATGAATGTTTGCCTTTCTTTGATAATGCCTCTTGGCTAAAGTCCCCAAGTGACCAGGCAGTTTTAGGCAAATGGAGGATTGTAGTCTGCGAATTGCTTTCCTCCAGACTATAGTCCCTAGAATCTGACCCAATTTTTCCCATCTGCTCTGTCACGACGTACCTTTCCTGGCCAGCACCAACTTTTTCCATGCTGCCTTTCAGTCCAGTCAAAGAAGCATCACTTTCAAGAGGAAGCTCTTCAGAACTGCAACTCCGTTTAGCTCCAGACAAGTCGAACCCATGGAAGCTTTTCTCCACCTCCTTAAGTCTAGAATGAACATCGGCTGTCATTTGTACCAGATTCTCAGCCATTTCCAGCAGTGATATCTCCCTTGACTCAGTAGTGCTCCCAGCACGTCCAGTTTTGCTGCCGTAACTTCTTGTCTCGCCCTGTTCACCAATGTGCTGTGGCTGCTGTTCACCAATGTGCTGTGGCTGCTGTTCAATTACATCCCAACAGTTTTCATGCTCGGACTCTGAAAACTTCTCCCATGATTCGTCTTCGATCTGGAAGCTTGATGGTGTCGGTTGCCAGTCTAAATGGTAATCCCCACTATAGGAAGTCGGATTTGATTTTTTACATTTTGCCAAAGATTTTCCTTTTGAGCTTATCCCCGAAGTTCTCGTAACATCCTCCAACACAAGTTTGTCAGCTGAGCTGCTTGGGATTAAATCAGGTTTGCTTCGGCGCTCCTCTGCATCCCAGGCAACAAATATTGAAGCCAGATCTTTGCTCAGGAAATCTTTGGTTTTATCGCTCTCAGATGAATGAATGTTGGAGACGGAAATGTCCTTGATGGCCCCGAACATGGAACCAAAGATACCTTTATTAGCAGAAGATGAGCTGGATGAGGAGGAAGGACCTCTCTCCCCTGCAGTGGGACTTGGTGTCAGGGCCTCCATTGAAAATGCAGCCGTGAGATGAGAATGGTCCAAAATGCTGGAGCTGGTTGACCTGGACATCTCTGGAAAAAGTCTTGGACCCAGTCTGGAGGATTTCTGGTCAAGAAGGTAGAGATCTTCAACACTTTTATTGGGGACGCGGGTCACTATTGTAGATTTGGTCTCATCAAAACGACTGGACTGGCTCGTTTTTCTTCTGTGATGAGGTCGTGTAGTAGATTTTTTACAATCTGCAGCATCTGTTGGTGACATGATACATTTGGTTAACAGCTACAAATATAGAAATAAATTTAATAGGATAAAATGTTATGGAGACTAAGACATTACCTCTAGGTTATTGCTGTCCAACCTTTTTCACTATGTGGGCCAAAAAAATATTTTCCGGCCACCTGACGGCCGCAAATAACATATCAAAAGAATAGTATTGATATTATTACTTCTTACCTAATGCGTAAAGAGATTTTTTTTAAATTTGTTTTTGCATTTTTTAAAATTTGAGATAGTTATCAGTAGCACCTGCCATCATCATATGTTTTAATGTTCACCAGTCAAAGTCAAAGCAATGCGTTTTTAGGACTTGGTGTTTGTCATTACAGAGAATCCAGCTTCACTAATGTAGTGTGCTTCCAAAAACTTGGTCAAAATTTTGTTACAACATTTCCATTGTTGTGAAAATTCATCAGAGGAAACACGTCATCCATAATTTATTTGGCCATGCATTCTTATGTTTGTTTATTAAAAAAAATACTTTCAAGAATCTTCCTACTGTCTCACACAGTTCTTTTCTGAATGAATTGAAATAACTACAAACAAAGCTTGTATCCTGCTTTGTACTCACTGAATGTCTCATATTCCGATCTCTGAATACCAGGTATCATCCAAATCACGTAATTGGAAGGATAAGACATTACCTCTAGATCCTCTGTAACAGACCATGTTTGCACACAAAACCATTGAGTCAGAGATGTGGCATAATTTGAATATTGAACTATGTTAACGTGTATTTTTCACGGGGAAAGAGAGTAAATTATGTTTTTGAAAAGCGGAAGTGAGCCGCACGTTTTGTTGAGTGATCAGGCGCAGTACCTCGGATGTCGTAATGAAGAGAGGACGTGGTTGATTTTCTGGGAGGTGAATTTTCCATACCATGGAATATTATATATATATACATATGTGAAATAATTGCATTGTGGATGTTATTAACTGGATATTTATGCAAGGATTCTTCTTAATATATTATTGTAAAAGATGACGTAATAAAGTACTGTGAGTTTAATTGGAAATTAATATACTTCTTTGTGTGACTGGCTAAGTGAGTGAAGGAATGGAAGAAGTATTACTCTACACAAGCCGGCATCCTGAATCATCGATATAGAAACAGTTAACCATGCTACTGACACAACACCCTACTAAATAGCATGTCAGAAGCATGTGTTACATCCTCATTAGGACATTGAGACATTACCACCAGGTCAACTCTTTAGGACATTGAGACATTACCTCTAGGAAATGCTGACTCCATATCTTGAAACCTCTGCAGCTCTATACCAAGCTCCTCCAGTGAAGTCATGGCTGATGAGAGTTTCTTCCCCTTTGATGCCTGCCCTGCACTGTTTGACCTGGGTCTGTGAACTCGTGTCTGGGTGCTTTTACTCAGGTTAGACCTATTCAATAGAATCATGTAAACTTTATCAATTATTAAGATCTATCATGGAGATTTTTTTTTTTCATTGAGGAGATCATGCTTAAAAAAAAAAGACAAGTCATAGGTGGTCTTAAACACACAACTAATAATGTCGCATTGGAGATGGCGTCAGTGAGTCATTGGGCGTGAGCTCTTAATCCACCCCCCCACCCCCACACACTGGGTCTCCCCACCGCCAGACCGCGCGTTCCGCTCGCCGGGAACCGCCCCACTGGCCTGAGGGACGTCCGGTCGACTAAAGACGTTGCATTTAAAGCAACCGCGTTCCACTCTCCTTGTTGCGTTACCTCCCCACACCGTCCAGGAAGTTGTCCGGTCGGGACGAAAGCTGGGATGAAACAGTCTAACACACAACTAAAGGGCCATATTTGTATGGTTTTTATACATTTTTGAAACATATTTTCATGTCTCTTACTACAGGTGTGCGAGATATTTTCATGGCTTTTACTACAGGTGTATTAGATATTTTCTTGGCTCTTACTACAGATGTAAGAGATATTTTAATGGCTCTTACTATAAGTGTGTGAGATATTTTCATGGTTCTTACAACAGGTGGGAGACATATTTTCATGGCTCTTACTACAGGTGTGTGAGATATTTTCATGGCTCTTACTACAGGTGTGTGAGATATTTTCATGGCTCTTACTACAGGTGTGTGATATTTTAATGGCTCTTCCTACAGGTGTGTGGCCTATTTTCATGGCTCTTACTAGAGGTGTGTGATATTTTCATGGCTCTTACTACAGGTGGGAGACATTTCCATGGCTCTTACTACAGGTGTGTGAGATATTTTCATGGCTCTTACTACAGGTGTAGTAATGACCATTTTAAGAAGAAAAAACATGCAACAAAATCTACGACACACATGAAGCAGCTGAGACAAAGCAGGTGAAAACTCAATCAAATGCTTCAGGAAAGAAGACCTCCAAGACTACTAGACAAATAATGTAAAGAAAATTTTGGAGCATGGAAAACGAAACCTTTTTATGATGCTAAGAGGCCCAATGCAGACCTACAAGTCAGATGTCAACAATGTTGATCCACAATCTTTGTATCACCCTTACTCTCATATAGAAAAATCTTTGTACTTAACAATGCTAAATTTGTTTTTTTTAACCCACGAACAGTCCACTGCATCATTCTGTACTGTGTGGGCGATATAGACTTTTTGGGTGCCTTTGAAAAATGTGATTATTCACATGCAAATACTATAGCTAAACCCCATTAAGTATATAATTATTGAAATTAGACTGAGTGGGGAATCATACAGGCTATTTTTTAATGATATTTTATACTCGGTGACCGTGACCTTGACCTTGGAGTGACCAAGAATAAAGAAAATAATGAACATTTTTCTTTACTTGTACCTCAAACGACATTTTTTTTTGAAGGCATAATTATAATATTTGTATAATATGATAGCATTGTTATTTATCTTTCAGAAAATGTATCCGTTGTATATATTTTAGTTATTAATTGATTTTTTTATAAAAAATTTCTTCTGATACCTATAATTACGTTCAAGTAACAAAGCACAACATAAACAATATAAACATTACTAAATAGCAAAAAACAGATAAAATTTTAAAAGCTGCTATATAAATATTTAATCCATAAAATGAAATATAAATAAAGATATATAGAATAACATCCAATTATTTTTTGTTGGTACACAATCATCTACAACATTGTTTTGAACGAGTCCTGTTGTTGTGGCAACGCCAACTCGTTCTAGGCCTAGATTGTCCGAGTCCGAACTTTCATTTTCTGACCCACTAGAAAAATAATCGGAATTATCATTGTCTTCGTGTGTGATCGGATAATCATCTTCCGAATCACTTAAGTCATTAACTAAAAAGATATCAGAAAGATTCCTAACTGATTTATTTTGTAAGCCACATGGTCCAGCTATGGCCTCATCCATTTTGCGAAAATCTACTTGCACAAATTCGCTTGATAAAGATCATTGTAAAAAAATAACTCCAAAGTTTAAAAAAAGGACACAGAAAGTGAAAAATGGAAGTTTATTAATAAAAAAAAAAGTATTTTTATTTGGTGTAAAATATTGGACTGGAACTTATTCTTTCAACTCAATTTTTATCGGCCGATTTTATCGGCCAACACAGTATGGGAAGAGGAAATCGGCGGACGACAGTTCGTGGGTTAAATTTGTAGTTTATTTCTTGGCCCTTCTGTAATTTCCTAATAATTATGTGAACATATGTTTTTTATATTTTGTTCAGTCTTGTGATGTATGAGGAAGTCAAATGCCAGTGGAAAAAAAATCCACAGGTCCCAATGGGTTCTAAAAATGTTTTCCAAGCTCACGTTTGGTACTTACTTGTGTGTGTCCTGCGGGTCCGGCACATGAAGTAGGCCGCTGTCACGTAGGTACTGTAGTCTGGACATCTCCAGAGCTCTCAACAGTTCCATGTGTTCATCTAAGACTATTTCTGTAAGACCTGACAGGCAAACATAAAGCATGTGTTATGCAATGATGAATGGTGGGAAAAGTTTGGGATTGGCACGAAAACCTGATAGTTGTGATATTTTTTTAACTCAAGTTTCAAGATTAAAGGAATTTGTTAAAATCATCATAGTAAAAGGGAAGTAAGCACCATATTTAAAGGGCAGTAAGCAATCATTTAAAGGCACTAAACAATCATCTAGATTTGGAAAAAAATATGGAGAAAATATGCACATGCTCCCCAACTAGTTTAAAATTGGGAGAATAATTCAAGGAATTAAAACAGTTTCACTTTTAATTAACTTTGATCCATGCTGAAAAAGTTTTGCTCTAAAACTACAAGGTTGTTTAAAAAATGCGAAGTTGTAGCAATCAATCTAAAGTGGATGAAATGCAGAAGCAGTGAATTTTTCACTGGTACGGAGGCCACACACATTTGAATGTTTTTATTAGCTTCAGATAAAAACATGGGTCAGCAGTATTGAATGGACTTTGTTTTCATTGAAGGAAATGCTAAATTCAGGGTTCATAAAGAATTCAAGGTCCAGAATTCACAAACTTTTCACAAACCTTCAAAGACCTTTTTTTTTTAAAAATTCAAAGACCTACCGTGTTTATTATCATATGAGGTACTAAAGACTAAAGAGAAAAAAAACAAACAAACTCACCTAATAATTGCATAGATTAAAAATTCTTTATAGCACTTAAGTATATACAATATATACAAAATATTCA